GTGGACTTGGTACCATAGCGGCAGTCACCACCACCTTGAATGTAGGAAGGAAAGCTCAGGAGACTCCTAAACCAAAAAGTCCTACTGACGAATTCCATTGATTGCCAACCCTTGTTTCCCACTGTGTGAGAAAATACACATCTATTTGTTTAAGTCACTGTTTACCACTTATTCTGTTGATTCATCTAATCAACACTGAATTCAAGAAAGAAAATTAGAAGAAATTGAATACATAGGTGTGGGGGAAGAAAAATGGATCAGTGTCAGCCATTCTTGGCTCTAGAACCAGGCCCTACCACACAGAATTCCTATGACCTCAGGAAGCTATGGGTACCTCTCTTGATTTTATGCTTTGTCTGATATCACAGCTCAATAAAGAGTGAGATCATGTAAACAGCTAAAAAATTAAAGTCTTATACAAATAAAATATGTTTTAAAGTGAGGTATTTTTGTATTTTGGAATTATACCCTAGGATATAGTGCCTCCTTTTCCCATTTCATGCAACCTGTATCCTGCCTCCCACAAATTACAACTACATTGATAAGTGAATGAGGAGTGGAGAGCTATATTGCTAACTAAGCAAAAGACAGAAAACACTTGCTCTTTGGTTATGTCAGCACAATTTAAATTTGCAGGTATGAAAGACAGAATATAATTACATCACTTTGCATCTTGAAAATATGAAGTCAAAGGGAAAGATGGAAAGATTTAAAAGAAAACTGGGTCAAAGCAGGGCTAAGTAATGACTTACTATAAACCTGCAGACTGTAATCTTTCTTTGCAGTTCCAGCAACATTTGATGCCACACATGTATAAAGTCCTGAATCAGACTTTTCAGCAATTGAAATCTGTAACTGTCTGCCTCCAGATAAAATTCGGATTCTCCCTGCAGAATCAGTCAACACAGGAGAGCCTGCAAAAACAAAAATAAAGCTAAACCAAGCAAAACAAATAGTGAACTGTAAGGCAAACATATGAAACATTTTGTGTGGCTATTCTGATAAATATACATACTTGCTAATTTACATCCGAGTTTAATTATCTGAGTCCTATACAAAAAGATGGAAAGAGGAAGTGGAGTAGGAAAATAAGGAAGGGATAAAGATTACCAAGATTAACTTCTGCAAATTTTTCTTTCAGTTAATGCTACATTTAAAGAAAACTTATTTAGAAAAAGAAAAAAAATCTTAAAGCACTAAAAGTTTTAAGTTCAAAAAGTTGATTTTAAAAATCAACTACAAAGTTAGATGGTCTGTCTGACACTTGATAGACACAAGCATCTGTTGATCAATAGACTGAAAGTTTTTTCAATTGCTGAATTTAATCTTAACATGCACTGGAATACTGTTACATAATCAGCAAAATGTGTGCTATAGAAAAGCATTCTTTTGAATGATGGATTCTTGATCATTATAGTTATCCTATGACACATTTGACTAAATGTCTATAAGCTGATGCAGAAAATTATGTAGAAGTAAATGTTGCATATTTACTATAAGACAATTACGCTGTCCATTATTTTAGTATCTAAACCCCAGGAAAGCATGATAATAAATTAACATATGCAAAACAAAAAAGTGTTTAATTTTATAATTGATTTTATAAATGATCAAGAAGTAAACTCACCTTTCTTCTTCCATATGAGATTTGGGGGTGGAATACCACTTGATTCACAAAATAGACTAATGAGATTCCCTTCAATAACTGTATGATGAGCAAGTTCATCAGAACCATAAATATTTGGTGGTACTGAAACAAAACAATGCAATTTTATGATTATTACTTAATATATTATTTAATATAAAATATACCCAAACATCTTGCACATTAAATAATTCCCAATCACATTATATAAGGAAGTAATTACATTAACAGTACAACCACATTAACTGTCAATTGTATTAGATAGAAAAAAATACATTCCCCATTTTTTTTTTAAGATTTATTTATTTATTCATACAGAACTGGGGTACAGGCCAGAGATGCGGAGGGTCAGAGGATTCACCAGGGACAGAATGGGGAGCAGAACAGGCAGATCGACAAAGTATACTGCTGAGGGGAGCAGCGGGCAGGTCAGGAGAGGTCTGCTGCACCATGTGGTCACCTCCGGGGCAGGAGGGGATCAAACTCATTCGGAAGTGGCTTAAGATTCTTAGTGCAGTGCTTTAACCCGCTGCACCACCAGGGAGGGCCACAACAGTGAATTTTTTAAATAGTACTTTTAGTGTGACATTCCCACAAGTAAAATGTCACTTCTTTCTACTAATAGCAGTAAATGACTTTCACACTGCTATTCTAATAATGGCAAATGATTTTCAAAGTGTGATAAATCCTTTCTGGTATATTTCTAATATAGATTCATGACTTTCTTAAATCCTAAAATTAAAAAATTGTATGGATTTTCCTAAAGAAATTAAAAGTTGAAAAGTAGAACTAACAAGTGATCCAGTATTCCACTTGTAGGTACCTACCTGGAGAATACATAAAGAACAACCACATGGTCATTGCAGCACCATTTGAAATAACTTAATAAACAACTTAAATGCCCCTTGACAAATGCCTAGATGAAGAAGATATGGTATACTCAACAAAACTACTCAGTAATAACAAAGAATATGAAATCTTGCCTTTTTGTGACAATCTAGATGGAACTTGTGATGACTAGACCAAGCAATATAAATCAGAAAAAGAGAAATGCATGTGGTTTCACTCATATTTGGAATACATAAAGCAAAGGAATGAACAAAACACAACAAAAACAACCCTTAGATTCTGAGAACTAAATGATGGTTACCAAAGGGGAAGCATAGGAGAATGGGAGGAATGAGCAGAGAGGATCAATTTTATGGTGGCAAATGGCACAAGACCACTGGTGGTTGGGGTGGTGTGGTTCATACATTTATCAGGGTGTGATGCTATATCTTGAAACGTATATAGCATTGCAAACCAATAGCCAATAAATTAAAAAAGTAATCTAACAGAAAGAAGCTTGAGATATATTATTTTTTCCTTTACATTGATTCCTTTAGTTTTTGCTCACACATTGGCTGATGTTATGGAACATTAATACTGAACTTTGTGTAGTACTAGCTTCATTCACAATATAACGCTGTGTCTATTAAATTTAACATAGTTTCTAAAATAACTCAAACTCATAGTTTCTAAAATAACTCATGTAAATAGGTGCTTCCTAAGTACATATATGTTAGGTCAAATGAGGTAATGTAAATTTTGATATTTATGGCTCATTTATTAGAATATTAAAGGTGACATGAATACAGCTTATTCTAAACATGCTGAGCCATTCAAGCTTTAAAACTAGATTTATATTAGCCAAGGAAACTAATGTAGACAACACAGAGTCAAAAATTTTACTTGGGGACTGCATTGGAGCAAGAGTACTGAACAAAACAATGATCTATGGTATCATAAGCTTCCCCCAAAGACTTATCTAAAATATTCTTAAATCAGCAAGGTAAGAAATGGGAAATCAAGTAAAGAAGGATAAATAATGAGACTGATAGAGAAGAGGAAGGTATGTGGAAAATAATCAACAATAAATAAAAGACTCAACACTAAGGCCTGTATCTCCTGCTCAGGATGTAACAGACTATATCAGCAGTAAACAGACTCATTGAGCCCCATTATACTTACTATGTACACTTAAGTCATATTTTCTGTCCGTCATCCCTGCCACATTAGCAGCTACACACACGTAACGACCTGTGTCAGATACATGAACGTTCTTCAGCTGAAGGATACGGCCTTCATCAAGTATTTCCATCCCTCTTCCCTTGGTCAAAGGACGGCCATCTTTCATCCAAGTCACTGTCGGCTGAGGAATACCCTGCACCTCACATTCTAAGGAAACACTCTTCCCTCGAGTCACAATAATTTCAGTAGGGTGGTTGCCACTATTAGATATAGTGGGTCGAACTGGAAAATAAAAAGAGAAAAAAATATGAACAAAATATGAAATATTTGCTGTCTCACATGGGAATTTTCACCAGCTAATTTTAATTTTGCTTTTAGCTTTGAAATATTGGTTGCCAAAGAAAAGATGGAGGACTAACTGGAGTGGCATTGATAATATGTGAAGGAAAAGTCCTTCCCTAATGTTTCCAAATGGGCTCAAACTGAAAATAAAGCAGCCAAGACAGTGGGGAAAGAATTATGTGTTTGCTAATTCCCTGATTTTGAGGAGTTAAATAAAGATCTCAATCTATCACTTGTAACTGATTTATAGCAGTCTCTCTATATTAAAATAGATACAGTAGCCTAGTTCATGCTACAATGTTTGGTACTAATTTCTATCTTCTACCTTCCAGTTTAGGAACTAGAAAAGCTAAAACTTTCTCAGTGTTCTCTGAAAATTTATGTGGTCATATGAATCAGCTCAGGCCCACAAAATCCAAACAGAAGTTAACTGGGATTGAAGGTGTATTGGGGGAACATTTTGGTCTCCCGTTAAAAGGGAAAGTATCTTTTTTTTTTTTTTTTTCTTTCAGTGTGGACTTGGTACCATAGCGGCAGTCACCACCACCTTGAATGTAGGAAGGAAAGCTCAGGAGACTCCTAA